AAAAAAAAAAACTAAATAAACAAAATAAATATAGTGTCTGTCTACAATTAAAAATATTTTTAAACACACAGAATTTGTTTGTTTTTAAATATAATTTGCTTACAGTGTCAACCTTCATGAATCATCAAATTTATCCAAATCTCAATGTTCTCATATATTTAAGCTTTTAGCCAGAATTATGGTTTTCAATTTTTTAATCTATTTAAAATATTTGTATGATTTTAGATGGATTTCTTTAGTTTCCAAAAGTTTCTTAAGTTTCAAGTAATGAATTTCAAAGAATAAGAGATTTTTTTAGTCATTCTTCTTAGAAGCCAAGGTGATAAATATATAGAAGGTGTTGTTATCTTAATACGTTCACACCATTTGGTGAGATTTTCAAATGAAATTAACATCTTTACCCTTTATACCTAGTTATTTAACAAAGCATAATTCATGAGACGAAGGTGAAGAAAGTGTCTTCTGTAATGTATTGCATATCGGTAGAATAAGTATTTTCTTCACAATGTTGGTCTTATGTGTCATTCCAAAAATGTAAAAATGCATTTTAATTTATATATATATTGTATATTTATAAATCTTTTTTTGGAAATTTTGAAAACTGATAAATGTGACAGTGCAGAATAAAAGAACAGATGTAAATACGACTACTGTGCTTTTGAAGTTAAATCCCTTTACCACATTTGAGAGGATACAACTACACATATGAAAATTTCCTGTTTTACTTCAAGAAATCTTTCCCTGTGTAGGTTACAAAATATTAAAATGCAAAAATAACAAAGCAAACTACTGATTACGAATAATGTACTAGAAATATGCAACAGACATTTATTAATTTTTGACAAAGCAACATTCAACTACCTTTAGTGCTTTCAAGGAACATTCAAGTACATGAATTCTGATGAACAAAGCCCTAACTCAACACCAGACACTTAGAGACCAAATATATTTCTTTCCATATTCTCTCAATTAGAACACATGACAGTGGTATATGCACCTAAATTATTTACTCCAACACTCTGAAGCAAATAATAGATGGATATAGGCACAGTTAAGAAATTTTTCAGGACAGTGATCATTGTCCCAAGGTCTAGCTATAATGTGGTGAGCTTAGGAGCTATGACAGAACTCAGTGCCTGCAGCAGAAATAAGGGACTTCTAGCTGTAATGCTCCACTGGCAATTACTTGATTTTGTTTTGGACTCTCTAACTTAGCTTGGTTTCTGGTTCTGACCAAACTTGGTTTTTAATGACTCATCAACTTTGAGGACTATACAATATTTTGAAAAAATGTTTTTTTTTTATTCTTTCCAAGGCCATATTTTATTTCTGGGATTTGAAAATTAGAACTTTCTCTCACAAAAATTGTTATAGCAATAATTTTAGGGCATGCTGCCCGCTTCCTGGTCTTGGGGCCACACATGTGGCTGGGATGGCTCCTAGTGATCAGCCAGGAGGCGGTGCCGTGGGTGGTGCTGTGGGTGAAAAGGCAAAGACGGACCATCTCCAGGATAGGTCCAGGACTCTTCCGCCCTAGTGGACAGCTTGTGCCTTCCCTTACAGACTATGGGATGGGTGTAAACGTGAACTCACTCCACCCCTCTGACCTTTACCCTGATTGGCTCCTGTGCAGTATATAAGCTGTCTGTACTTCCTCAATAAACAACATCCTGATTTGACTCATCTCCCTGGAGCATCTGATTGTCCTCCAGCGAGGGAGGGGTGGGTGCTGGTGGCCAGTCGACCTTTACCTTTCTTGGTTTGTTCTGATCCTGGCGTGCTTTCCCGGCTTCTCCTGCTGGTCAGGAGGAGGGGGGGTGGCTAAAAACCCTGACAAATAATACTCCAAACTTTGGTTTCAAAGACTGAAATATATCAACTGATGTATAATGCAGACCCCCTCTTTCTGCTCAGTCCTTCAGTCCAAGTGATTGCAAAGACTCATCACTAGCCTCTAGAAACACTGACTTTTCAGAACTGGACTTAGTAACAGTAGAGTGAAAATGTAATATCCATTATGAGGAAACTCTCACAAATCATTGGCATTTTACTCTCTGAGCTTCATGTTTCTCATTTGTTGATAAAGAGATTTATTGAATGATTTTTAGCATACTAATCAACATATTTTTTTTTAATTTAAGATTTAATAATAGTATATAATTTTCAAATGAGTTTTCTTATTTATGCTGAGTTACATAGGGTTACCCAAGCTTAAATCATTAGCCATTATTAGCTCTCAGTACAAGTCTCCCTTCAAAAAACTGAGGAAACACCATTCTCGATACAAATATTTCTCGCATTTATCCCAAATGTTATTGCTTGTTTCCAGGACTTTTAATTCTAGTTCTTCACTGATTGTTTCCAAATTTACAAGCCTGACACTCCAAAGAAGTCTAGAAAATATTTTCTATTTTTGTTTTTAAAACTGTCTGCTTTGATCTTCTGTTCTAAAATTTATCTTTGTAAAACATAGTATATCAACTGTATTTCATGAGTAAATCACTCTATTCTTCATAAGTTTGAGGTGACATGAGATATCATCTCACATTTTAAAAAACAGAAAATTGTCATCAACTTCTAAAGTCAAGCATTATATGTAATCACTAGACATCTCTTGACTTGTATAGAGCAAGCCTAGTTTACATAGAAATCTCAAACAAGATCAGCTATGCTAGAAAGTCCTTACTTTGGAAATTACCTGCCCCACAAGATGTGTGAGGGTGTCTTGTATGAAGAAGGACCTGTCAATGGGAGCATGATGCTCACCACAGAGAAAAGCTTCTCAACTCTGCAAATGAACCCATCAGATGATAAAATAATAGCTTCTCTTGAAATGATGGCTCATTTTGAATACAGTGGACCTTTAACTTTTCCATGTTAAATCATATAAAATACCATGTTACTCTAAGTTATAGAGTATATGTGAAGTTTATATTATGTTTGAATTTCAAAGTATTTATATAAGGTAAAATTACAGGTACTAAATAAAAGTTTATCACCTTTATCCTCAAGTTTAATGGAAAACAATATGCTCACATTCAAGATGTTAGTCTATATATTTGTCATCTAAGGGTGTACAGGTACC